TAGTCCTTTTGAGGGAGGCTACTGTTTGATTAGAGAAAGGAGAGCTTTGTATAGCTGAGCAAAAGTTTGCTAGCAGTACAAACTTCCCATTTCCTAAAGCAAATTTTAGCAAAACCACTAGGCTGGCATAAAATAGAGAAAGGCACAGAAAAAGAAACAGGTCTTTGACTGCTATGATCCTGGCTCCCTTTGCTGGTAATGAAATGAGACACCAACAGAGGAAAGGTCAAGCATTACAGAAGCCAAGACTTACAGGTTTGGGTATCTAAAGAAAAAAATATTACAAAATATAAGACAGGCAGGTTTGCAGGTGGGAAGATATAAGATGGACAGATAGCATGCATGATGTCATCAGGCAGATCCTGATTAGTAGCAGCTATGGAGTTCTAATCTAATCATTCTCTGAATAACTTACGGAGTACATCTGCAGATCTGAATTCATTGTTGATTACTATAAGACAGCTACTACTATTTTAAGCAACTGATTTTTTTCCCTCTTGCCTCCACAGAAGATTGCATTTTTACCCTTAGTCCGGATCCAAAAGCCAGAGTTTACCTACAGACTCCTAACTGGCTGGATGGCCTTCTTCCTTTTATGTCAGTGTACTGGAATATCAGTGTCCCACCAAAGCAAGTTGCACAGCTGACATTCTTAAATGAACGGATGGGCATAACGTGTGAAAAGAGTAGGGCTTTTATCTATGTTAAAGAACAGAGTCCAAAAGCAGTGGAAACTGTGTGCCGTGATGATAATGTACTGCCGAAGACCCTAAATATGCGACAGCATTTTTGGATTAATATCACTAATTGTAAACCATCTGCCAAGCAACAACTGAGTTTGCAATTCTTGGTGATGTTTCAAAAAAATTCAGGTGAGTTATCATATTCATGTTGTTGCACAGCCAAGCTCCCTGTAAATTTGATATGAGGAAGGAACTATTCTGCATGCATGAATCTTTCTCTATCACATTCTTGTTTTTGAACATACTAGCTTAGGTAAGAGCCCCCCCCCCCCCCCTTTTAGCTCATGACTTAATTTTGGTGGGTACAAAAACAAGCCTAAAACTGTGGAGAGTGAATATGACATCTCTTATTTTGTGCATCATCCACCTAACGAGGATATTTCTTCAATACAATCAGCATGATTATAAATGCCAGACATTTTTCTTAAGTTTTACAGGTAGTCCTTGACTTATGACCCCAGCTGACCTTCACCGTTGTCTTGCTCCAAACAGCTCCTTTGCATAAAACTGGAGTGCGGCGTGCCAAAATGCCCCTTTGCAAAAAGCTGCTGGGCAGGGCAAGGCTGGGCTTTTGCTTTGTGTTGTGAAAAAAAAAGCACACCCTTCTTCCCTCCCTCTCCTTTTTTCTTTCCCCTTCCCCTGCAGGTAGACTGGCCCACTCCCTGGAACTTTGGTCCTCCAACCCCCTTCAACCCTCTCCCTTCCATTTTCCATGGGTAGATTGGTCCTCCTCTTGGGGAGGTGAGTAGACCAGTCCCACCTTCAGCTGCTGGGGGGACCAGGCCAGCTTTAGTCCCCTGGAGCTAAGGCTTTTTGGCACAGTCCAAAAAAATAAAAGCCAAAAGCACCTGAGCAGCAGTGTGTCAAAATGCCCCTTTGCAAAACGCTGCTGGACTGGGCTTTGGGTTTCTTTTTTCTTTTTGCAGCATGAAGTGAAAGCCCAGCTCCACCCAGGAGCTTTTTGCAAAGGGGCTTTTTGGAGCAAGAAGATGGTGAAAGTCAGCTGGGGTGGCAGAGCACAGGGAGCAGGGGTCTCGGAGTGCAGGGTGGCAAGGGGGACCGCGGCTGGGACTGGACAGGGGTAGCTGTGGCTTCCTGGGGCGTGGCAAGCAGCCCTAGAGCTGCGCGGTTCTGGGACTGCTTGCCACCCCACAAGGCAGGGTGCAGGGCAGCCAATGGCAGAGATGGCGGGGGGGAGATAGGCAGGGGAGGGGAGTTGGAGGCAGTCCCTTATTTTATTGAGGTTCGGGACTAGGAAGGACCAAGCCTGAATGGCTTGGATTGGGGTGAGTACTTGCTTAACAACCTGTAATTTTCGGGTAAGGATGGCAACTGGGACTGCCAGGATTGCCGTTGCTAAGCAATGTGGCCAGTGACGTCTCACTTTCATGGTGGAAATTCTGGTCCTAATTGTGATTGTAAGTCAAGGACTACCTATATAACTATAAGTTGCACAAAGTAATAAAAAAAAATGTGTGACTCCAAATTGAGTGTTGGTCACCTCTGTTTTCTGATAAAGCAATAAAAGTATCCTGTCTTCCCTGTACGTAGAAGACAAAAATTCATGAAGCCTATTAAAGAAATAAAATATAGTTGATGGAACTGGGCTGTGATTTTATTACATCTGAATGAAAATGTAGTGTAGAGTTTTGAGCAGGATTGTAAAAATTATGAATTTTTACAGCTGAAAATAATGCTTATTTTCAAAAACGTAAATTGCAAAAGGCAAAACCTGTTGCACCAAGTTGTTTTGTCTTTTAGGAAGCTTTTTCAAGCTAGTTGTATTAATGGAGGTGATAAATGACATACTATGTGTTTTATAAATACTGTATCTCATTTGGGAGTCAGGAAAGCTTCTTTTTAAGGTTGAGGGAACTTAAATGAGTGTCAGAATTGCTGCGACTCATATGTTCATTGCAAACTCATCACAGAACATTCAATGTTCTTGAAATTTCCCATGCATACCACCTGTGCAATCTTCCCTCCATTTTAACAGTTGTTGTTACTACTACTACTACTATTACCACTACTTTGGATTTATCTCCGCCTGTCTCCCCTAATAGGGACTCTGGGCGGCTCACATAGTACAATATCTAACAATTACAGTTACAATTACAATTACAATTACAATCCTACTCTATTACAATTACAGCCCAACTCTATTGTGGCCAGCAGGGTTGCAAGGGAGTTAGCTCATCCGGGCTTTCTTCTACCGATGATCTTTTTCCGCCCGTCGCGTCCAGCGTTTTTCTGCCAATCAGGTCTAGCACCGGTTCCAGCTTCCCCGCGCAAAGTGCCGCCAGCGTTTCCTCCCACCAAAATGGGAGTACCTATTTATCTACTCGCGGATGGCATGCTTTCGAACTGCTAGGTTGGTAGTAGCTAGGGATGAGTGACGGGATCTCACCCTGTCATGCGGAGCTGGGCTCGAACCGCTGGAGTTCCGACCATTTCTAGCCGGCAAACTCCAGCGTCATTAAGCCCCTACGCCACCACTTAACGTTATCATTACTTCTTTGTAATGTTAACATAACATTTTTCTTAACATAACATTACTTCTTTTCAAATATCCAGATATTTCTGGCAAGCAGCAGCAAAAATACATTTTCATCCTATTACTTATTTATTTTATTTATTTATGAATTTCTGTACATGCCCATCTCAATCCAGGTGACTATGGGCAGCGAACAGTCTCAATAATTAAATCCATTATACAATTACAAATTACACATAAGGCAGCTGAGAATTATCATAAAAATTACATAAAAATCAACAGTGCAACCAGGTAATGCTACAACTCTCTCCATCACCTTCCCTAAAAAGGGGAGGTTGGACACTGGATGAAAGTTGTCCAGATCAGTTGGGTTGAGCGAAAGCCCCTTAAGGAGGGGCACGCTACCACCTCCTTAAGAGCCAGTGGAACCACTCCATCCTTTAATGATGACCTGACCACTGTCCATACCCAACCATGCATCCTGTGCAGCTTTAACAAGCCAGGAGGGGCACGGATCTAACATACAAGTGGCTGAGGTAGCAGCTGCAAGGGCCCTGTCCACTTCCTCAGGCTTAACAGGCTCAAACTCTTCCCAGATAACCAAGCCAGGCAAAGCCCCTGTAACCTCCACCAGATCTGCCCCAAGGCTGGGTTCCAATGTGGAGTGAATGCAAGTGATTTGATCCGCCAAATGTTATATCTGATCTTAGGTTCCAGTGGTTTGACATTTTTTTTTGTGCTGAGTTCTTCTCCAGAATCTGGAGTGCCCTAAGTCAGAGGAAGGCAGCCAGGGGTCCTCCAAAAGTTGTGGTCTACAGTGCCAACAGTATTTAGCCATTGGCAGTACTGTTGGGCGTGAAAGTTCACAAACGAGGAAGGTTCCAGGTTGCCTCTCCCAGCCGTCTCCTATGAAGATTATCTTTGAAAAGAGACAGCATTCTGTACATGACTTGTTTTTTTTTAGCTACATAATTTCTTATGACTCCTCTCCCCATTGTTTTTCCCCCCCTCTTTCTTTCTTCAACTTCCTCCTCATCCCTCCCTTTCATATTACCACCTAGCTATTAACTACTGGAAAAACATTCTATCTGTTGAATCGCTCATGTGTTTCAAGTTGATTTCTGTTCCTCCCCTTTTATCTCTGTATAAACATGTGTGCAATCACCAACATTTTAAATTTGGCTTTGAGTAAATCATCAGTATGTTTAATTGGTCATGAGAGGGTTTATACAAGACATGAAAGGGGAGACTGGAGGGGGGAGAATCTGCATAACTCCTCTTTCCAGCCCCTTTGATCTGCTGTATGAGAAGCCTTTGAGTAATTCTGGAAGGCAAACCTGGATTTGTGCGCCTACACTTACAAAAGCCCAGTGCATTTGGAAATGGGGAAAGGAATGAAAGACATGAATGAGGACCAAAAGCCTCTGCCTCTTGCTTTGAACCATCCTGAATGTCTCTTTCCCTTTATCTTTTCACAGATGTGACTGTCATAATTGGTGTGGTGGCTGGCGGGATGGCGGTGCTAGCTGTTATTGGTGTCGTCATCTGCTGTGTTAAGAAAAAGAGAAAAAGGTAGGTTCATTTCGTCTTGGTGCCATGCTGGCTGGGGAACTCTGGGAGTTGAAGTCCAGACATCTTAAAGTTGCCAAAGTTGAGAAACACTGCTTTAGACCAACAAACCCTGAGTGGCCTTTCCTCTCCAAAATTCCTTTGAAAGAGGGGTTGCATCTGTGACAGTCTTTATTCTCCTGGGTTTTAGAGGTTCTGTCTGTTGTAGTGAAAGTCAGGTACTTCCCATCCCGGGAAAAATACTTCATAGTCCTCCCATCTCAAATATAGCTGTTTCTGGAGCTAAGCAGAAAGCTACCTGGGAAGAAGCAAGTGGAAAAGACTCTCTCTGCTTGAGCTTTTCCCTCTCACAATTATCTCCCTCCAGTTGCAGGACTGTGAACTACGTGGGGAGGAAACACGGAGACCAAAGCTTTTTTCTTGCCATTAATTGAATGGCAACTTGGGCACCAATGGGAAAAGGGTATGGGGGGGTCTTCCTCAGGCCAGGGCTCCAGATTATCCATATGTGCTGTAGGCAAACTTGAAAAGAGTGTCTGAAGAGGGAGAGTAAAAGATATACATCTTGTTAGGCGTTGTCCTGTATGCAGAGATATCATGACAAGAGTGGTGTGTCTGAATCAGGGCTGTTCCTGAATATTACAGGGTCTAAAATAGATTGACAAATCCCATTCCCACTGCACGGTATCCAGTGCTGCCATCAATATTCATAACAGTATCTTTCCTTCTCCTTGATGGTAAAGTACAGCAATAATAAAGAACCAGTAAGTTGTAACTAGTGCTAATTCTGACTGTACGCTTCTTTATCCTCAGAGAGAACCACAAAGAGCAGAGAGAGAAAAATAAGGAGAACCATTTTCAGAAATGGTTGTACTCAAAGAATGACTAGAATTCAAACCTCGATAATGTTTGCTGATTTATAATTTTGGGGGGGGTAAAAATACTTTTCTTTGGGAGCCTGTTTACGGGAAATAAAAAGGTCCTCTGTTAGATATAGTGGTTTCTACCACTGCCTTGCCACAAACTCATTGACTTCTGTGCAAGCTTCCCTTCCTTTTTATTATCATGCCAGATAGTCCCCAAAGCAACCCAGTCAGCTCTGTGTGTCATTATCTCAATCAGCACACTCTCAGGAAGGGATAAACCCAAGTTTCTTAATTTTCTCCTGCCAGTAGAAATCATGCTGCGATGAAGTCATGACTCTGCTCTCCGTCCCTGTAGACAGCCCTGCTTCTAAAATAGCCAGGTCTGTGTCAGCAAGTTTTAGCTGGTGTCTGTGCAAGCTCTTAAGAGTTTTGAGTCATATTGCACTCAAAGTTCTGCACATCTTCTGTTTTGTATGATGTGTATTAGGCCATACATGAAATGGAAAATCTCATTAAGAGAAAATGCTTAAACTAGTAAATCAACCAAAATAGTTGCTTCTGTGGGAAATTAGGTAGCAAATCCACTGATTCTCCAAAAAGGGGTTAGATTGAGGGTTGCACAACAAAAAACCTTTGGTACCATGGAATTGCCTCCTAAATGGGGAGATTAGGTTCAGTCCTTTCCATCTAGAGTGTTAAAATATATTTATTTTACTAAGTCTTTGGGCTGAATTGAGCATGTTGGGCTTTTTTTTCTATTTTCTTTATTAATAAGGCTTGTGCATATTGTGACTTGCCAGATCAGACAACCTGCTGGCCAAGCGTAATAATTCACTGATGGTTAAATTTAACCTCAGGCTTTTTGTATTAGGGTGGGACAATAAACTAGTGAAGTTAGCGAGACATGCCACCTCACAATACACAGTCATAAACAATAAAATTGAAGGAGTATTTTATCAACCATTTCTTTTATGTGAATTAAGTTTAACAATCCTAGCAAAATGGACTAATCTGCTAACTCTTAGTTAATTGCCTGGGATATGTGCATTTGTCATTGTAAATGCATTCTACTTTCTCCTGTAAAAATCTACAGGAGAAAGTAGAAGAAGCTGGCTTTGGGGAAAGAGCCTAGAACTTGTCTGGTAATGCTTGATGATAACTGTGAGAAACAAATTTTCCCTGGGGGAAAAGAATCATGGTAGAAAGTTAAATGTGACACCTTTTAATTAGCAAAATGAGAGTGTAAGCTTTGCAAATCAACATCTGTGAGAGAGTGAAATGCAGACCTGCAGTGTTTTCAGCCTTATTTCCTCTTCTTCTTTTTAGCAGAAAAAAGGAAAGCCAACACCCAGTGGTGGGAGTGTATAATGCCAATGTCAATACCTTGTTACCTGGAAGGCAGGCCATTTTTAAAAAGGAGAGGAAGAAGAATGAGTCACATGTCTATGCAGTCATTGATGATGTCATGGTTTATGGGCACCTGCTTGATAAATCTACAAGACCAGAAATGGCTGAGGTAGGGGTGTATAGGCCGTTTTCTGGACCAGTCAGTCCTATACCGCCTTCCCCACCTCCAATCAGGAAAGTATCTAAGAGCCCGGACCTTCAGGAATCATCAAGCATGCTTGTAACTGACAGTGAGAACTATACCTTTGCGCATCATGCACCAGAGGATATCCAGAGCAATGGTGACCTGAATGTGAGTGGTAATGGACACGTGGGCATCAGGAACAATGAACAGGGAAATTCTGTGGAGTAGACCTGATATCTTGGTGATCTATGACTTCTCTGATTCAAAGAAAAAACTAATTCTTTCAATTCACTTGTGGGCTGTGTTTGAAACCTATTTTTCTGTGGTTTCTTTTATTGAAACATGGATTGCAGATCTGTTCATATTTTTGGAAAGACGTTTGAGAATGTAATGCATGTTGTATAGGAATGCAAACAACTTTTAAGTTTGCAGACATTTTCAGCCTTTAATATAAGTGAACAACTTTTTCTTTTAAAAAAAGTCAACAGACCAACCATTGAATGTTAAACAAAACTGAGGAATGATGTTAACAAAAAGACTCTTGATCTAAAGATTGCACTGGGTACTGAGCACTAAATGGCAAGAACTGTGCTTTTTGTAAATGCTTTTTTTGTTTTTTACTTATTCCCCCTTTCAATACATTGTGTAATATATGAATTTTTAAGACGATTACTTTTTATTTTAGTCCTGTGGATATAATGTAGTGAATTTTAATAAATTATTCTCAGTTGCCTATTTCAAAGGGTGGGCAATGCCAAGGTTCTAATGAAAATGAAAGGACCGTTCTGGAATTAATGGAATCACTGCTCCATTGTTACTAAGCTGTGGGTTGCCCTCCTACTTGACTATAAAGGTATTCTGATGTTAGTAGGTAGGAAACAAGCCTTCAGTGGCATATTTGGGCTTGAGCTCCATGGCTTCTTAGCAACTTTATGCTAAGAAGCAATATGATATCTTGGAAATCAACATAAGACTATTATGTAGATATGTACAGCCAGCGATTAGGTACTGGCTTTCAAATCCTGAAGTAGAGACTTAAAGAAAACAGAAGTTTATTTTCATGGGTAACCCAAATTATAGTTATTAAAGCCTTTTATGGTTCTGGATGTTCAAAGCCCAGGTTGCCAAAAGTCTGTCTGTGTATCCATATGCCTCCTTGTGGGGAGGGGCAGTATGGAAGTTTCTTTGTAGAACACACAATTTGGAACATAGCATCAGACTTTAACATAGGCATAGATTGGCATATTGTGAATTAATGTTTGATAGGTTTGGTTAAACTAAAATACTCAATTTTGATACTGCCCAACTCCAACCACCTCTGGATAGTGTAGAATAAAACCAATAGAATAAAAACAAAATACAATAATCCTAGAAAGAATAAAAAAATAATAAGGACCAATGGGGGAGGGTCCAGAAAACAAGAAGCACACGATCCAGCAGGAGCCCCATCCACCCTAACCCGAGGCCTGGGAGAACAGAATGTAAGTCAAAAAAGGAACAGAAAAGATATAGTTAAGCGTGTTTTGTGTTTTGCATTGTTTTTTCAGTTTACTATCCTTATGGAATTTATCTTGTAGAAATACTCTTGTCATACACAGGATTCCACTCAAAACATTCAGTAGCTGAAAAGTTGCGGGAGAGCATTTTCACTTCAGCTTGAAATTAGCATTCGGCAATTCTGCATAAGCAGATAACAGCTGCAAAAGACTTTTGCACAGTTCTAACCTCAGTGGCTTTTGAACAAAGGATTTTCCTGGTGAAACGTATCTATATATGAGGTATATATAGTTACATTTTTAGAAGGAGGGATTAAAAGCCAAAATGAATTGCTAGAATCCAGGAGGTGCTGTGGACATGCCTTGTATGTACAGCGGAGCTTCCAAGAGCACCCCTTTCTCACGCTTTGCTGCGCCAACATATTGTTCCTGAGACTTGGAGGACCTTCTGGAATGGCCCGTGCATTGTAAATGAGCTGACAAAAAGAACTGGGTGATGTTAAGACTGTCATAGAATTGCTGCATTTTCTGATGGTTCTATATGTAGAACTAAACCATTTAGAATATTTTGTACAGCTGTAATGATTTCTATTATCCTATTTCAGGGATTGCAAACATTTGGAAGGTTACAGGCTGCAACTCAGCCTCCTGATTTTTCCAAAGGCTGCAGGAGGCCTTCTGGTGATGCTGTGACATCACAGGAAAAGGCGAGGCTGGTTTTTGCCAAGCTTTTAATGCTTTATTTAATGGCTGATGTTTTCTTATTTAACTGCGTAGTCAGATATAGACTGAACAGGTTGTTTGTTCTGATAAACGATTATATATGGTTTAAGTCCTTGTATCCTCAGGCAAAGGAGCGAGTGCAAACATTTGTTTACTATTCTTACATATGTATATTGTGAATTTTGTCAGGCATGGTTGGGATTATTTTATTAAAAAGAAAGTATATTAAAGCACTGGCAATTGTCCTTTCTGAAGTTACAACAACATTTCCTGGTAGCATAACTATTTCTGAAATCAAGATTCTTGTCGGTGGCAAGACAGATTCATCTTTTCCCCCACTCCTAGTAGAGGGGCTGTTAAACCTTCATGCATCCAAAATTCCAGATAACTGAATCTTAACTGTTGGGTCAAGTAAACATTGTGAAACTACCTTCCTCTCCTGTCTCCTTTATTGCTTTTCTGTCACAGTTTTTTTACTCTTTGGTTAGTTATAACTTGCTCTTGGTATATTTCTTTCTTGCCTTTATAAACCAACTTATTAAGTTGCTTTCTTAATTTAGACAGGATATTTGTAAATATTTGTCACATTTTGAATATGATTGAAAGTCCTGGTGTTAGTGTTTTCGTAATCTTGTAACATGGTAGTTCTTGTATGTTCCTCTGACATGGTTGTTTTATTTAATTTGCATTAATGCATATAGTTGAAATGTGTGTGTATATACATATTATGTTTATTTTGTGTGTTCTTCAGAATGAAATAAAAGAATGTTTACAAGGACAATTTAGGTGAACCTCAAGTGACTTATTTTTTTATTGAGAAGCTTGCTTTGAAATCCATTTATGATAGATATTTTTCTCTTTGAGCAGCACAAGTTTGTGTATGGGGTTATTGAAGAGATGAGACATTCCAGTTGAGTGTTCTTTGTCCTACCTGGCTTATAAATGGAAAAAGGGAAATGGTTGCAGCTTAACTGCTATGCTAACCCTTTTATTGTATGATAAATTTTATGCTTTTTGAAATTAAGAAAAGGGGGAAACTATAATTTTAAGAAGACATTTATACAAAATCCATATGCTTAGTTTTTCTTAGTCAACTATTCATATTTTTCTGTTTAATTAAAAAGGGATAAATTTAGTTTGTGGCTTAACTGCAAATTATTTTTCACCCTGAAAACCATGAATTAATGATCTTTGGAATCAAATAGCCTATTTAAAGCTGAATTTTTAGTTTTTTGAGAACGCATGTATGTTTAAACAACCTAGGTGAGATAAATGTTAAAAGCTAACATGAGGGTTTTATATTTTAGATGTAAATGAAGAGAAACAATTTAGAGCCATTCTTAAAAAATAAAATCTGTTGAGGTATTAGATAATTGGAAAATATACATAGAGAGGATATCATGAATTATGCCAACAATTGGAATTTACTAATGTATGAAGAACTGTGAACTAATTACAAATATGGAGTGACAACAAAAAAGATTATTATGATGGAAAGATTTTTGCTATCCCAGATTTACAGTTTTGGATGGAAGATAATTTGTTCTGGATTTTTGAAGTGAGAAAATGAAAAGATGGATTAATGTTATTCTGTGAGGTCATGGTTTAAAGCTATATTTAAACATTGAACTATAAGTGATGAAAAGGTTTGGATTTTTCCCTGTTTCCCCTTGTTTTTCTATTTCATTTTTTTTCTTTTAAAAATTTACAAGCTAAAACAATTTTTAAAAAGTGTAGAGGGGATAATGCATAGCAAGGCTAAGCCATAGATATTTCCAGCAGTTTAGAAATACTACTTTTATCCTCTTCTCTCCTTTTATTTTCTTAATCTAATGAATATGCATTTTAAACAGCTCAGCATTTTAAAGATACAAATATATAAAATATAAAATGTATTAATATGACTGGGCCACTAGTAGGCACTGCTTTTGTCAAATCTTTTATCAAATGTTATCAAACAGACAAACTGGTTCACTCTGATTTCCTGTGTTTGCACAAAGACTGTTTTAACACAAAATGAAATAATTATCATGGAAATATTTGCCAGTTAGAACATATAACCATCCACTGATACGGTAATTTTGGGTTTTCCCACTTGGATACAAATAAAAACTTCATTAAAAGAGAGTCATATTTTGACTTTAATTCTGACATTTGCCTCAGTCATAAGTATCTTCATTCAACTGGAATTTGAGCTCCTATAGTATGTTCATTGCAGCAGCATAAAAGATATCTGCATTAGTGATTTCTCAGGACAGCAATGGTTGGGTAATTCAATAAATCAGCAGCATGGAAATCCTCCTAAATTGGCCAATTACAGACTGCTGATCAGGAATTTGGAGAGTTGCATTCCTAATACAGTACACTGAAAAGGCACTGGTTGGGCAAAAGTTGTGCTAGAGTTATATGGCTGAGTTATACTAGTCTGTCATGAAACTGACTGGAAAAGGAAAAGAGCCTTAAATCCATCTCTGTTTTATCCACTGGAGTTATTCCAGTTAGATTACTTTCACCGTCTATTTGTTTTTCAAGTTGGTTTTTCATTTCAAGAAGTCAACTTCTTTTTTTACAAAAGATCTCTTCTTATATTCTGCCACAAACATTGACTTAGCCAAGGCAGAAATAACTCTGATGGCCTATCCAATGCAAATTCATATATTTTTGTATTTTGATTTCAAGGAAGTTAAGAAGATTCCTTTTCCAATCAGACTTAATCTTTAGGAGTTTGAGTCCTTCATATTAAATAAGAGTAGGTAACCTGGTTTCCCTGCCCCCAAAGTTTGTACTATAATTCCTATCAGCCTCAGCATACTGTCAGATTACTGAAGTTTATCCACAGAATAGGCAATATCCATACTGCCTAATTTGGCTAGGTATATTCTATCTTGGCTTTAATAATTTTGATGATTCTTAGATGGCAGTGTATCTATAGAGATTGGTTGATGGATTTTTGCAGGCCGTGTTTAATTTTTGTACGATGTACCAGTAGAACAAAATTCAGAGGGAGCCTCTCTGATCTCAGTAGCATGCATCCAATTCCTGAGTATAATTTAGGGCTTTCTACCCAGTTAGCAATGGTGGTTTAAGGATTACTTGAACAATTGAGAAAATAATCCCAGTCTCTCCTTCTGGAGAAGATCACACCTACCCTTATCTTCATTTCCATTATATCTCAAGCTATTTATATGTTGTTTTTCGTTTGTTTAGGCACTTTTGATGTGCCTGATGGTGGGAAGTTGCCTATACAGGAGTTGCACTGATATCAGGAGAACTTGTATGCCTCGAAGACAACTGCTGTTTTAATCTGAGAATCTCAAATGCAAACACAGGGCAGCCTACTGCTGTTTGTCTGTATGATTTATTTCCTTTATAGCTTACATGGATTAACGCTAGTTTGTTGATACATTACCGGATCTGTTACCTCAGGTGTGTGGAAGCTGTTTTAAGATCTGTGGGAAGACGAGTCTGCCTTTTTGAGGTAGCACTGGAATGAAAACTACTTGTTCCTGATAAGTGACTGGTTCTAATGACTGCTTGCCAATAGGAATGTTACAATACTAAAATAAATAGCTTAATTATTTTTCTAAGAAGCTCTGTTTTTTTCTGACTATAAGTCAGAGGACACTAAGTTAGGATAGGATATGGATCAGATTAACTGATGCATAACTTGTTTGCTTTATAAATTGAATTTTAAGTAGCTAAAATTGTCAACTCCTGTACAGAGATAATTTATTACAAATGTTAGTGAAAAAATTAGGAGACGACAGGTAAACCATCAAAAACAGGTGCTAACACTTCATATGTATTATTATATAAATGCTAATCCTCCTCTTGTATAATTATATGTTTCATGATGGGTGTAGCTAAAGGATGCAAATAGCATTGGTAAAATGGTCAGCAACTAGAATGATTGGCTCTTGATAAAAGAAGAGTATGGATTTAACATAACTGAAACCCACTCTGAATACTGAAACTAGGCTCCACTTCCCAAATCAGTGCTATCCCTCGCTGAGGACTAGGAGAGTGGGGTTTGGGAAATAACCATCACTTTCTACCTATCTTACACAGCTTATAATGTGTCGTCCTGATGTTACTGAATGATGGTTCCCAGCAGCTTCTTCTAATGTGGCCAATGGCAGCATCTGGAGGGTCACACAAAATGTGGGATGTGATCACGTGGTAATGTATTGATTGATAATGTCATATCTGAACAATGGGGGCAAGGGTTTACCCAAGAACATGCCCAACTTGACAGGAACCTGATGATAGGAATATTACACCCATTTGATGCTGCACCAAATGTTTCTGATTGAAACTGGAGTCTTCCTGCAAGATTGAGGTGGGATATTAATCAGTGCTGAATACTAAACTATGCATTTCTCTCTTTTTGAGAGTGGAACTCTCAGGATATATATAGTAGTTGGCATGTTGATGTTGCAACTCACAAATCTAAAAAGATCCAGCGTATTTTTTCCTTTAAAAATGCAAACTCATTTCTGTGATTTCTGACTATGATACCCTCTTCCTCATTCTGCTCTGTCTGTACCTGTTTGCATGCTTATGATTTAAAATAGCTCTGTTGAATCAGACTCCATTCAACCACAGAGTCATAGCAGAATAATTGTCCTTTCCAGATGTTTGATGCATGCATGTTAGGGCAAGCTACAAAGTCTGCAATTTCAACCTAAAAAGGAAGAATATGGTAACTGAATCACGATTTTTAGTTCCTGATAAATTGTTTGAGGAGTTCTGGCTCTATTTTTTTGTCATTCTTGTTATTTTGCAATTCACGGTTCAGTTGTTGGAGCTGTTTGATTAGTGCCCAATTAAAGATTCTAGACTGATTATAGTTACTTAGAATAACTTATCTTCCTTAATGGGAGTGTGAGTCATAGCATTAATTATGTAACCTATGGAAAGATGTTTGTCTTTTGCCTGTATACGCATAATCCACAATTGAAAGTTGTCACCATCACAAAAATGATGAGTATTCCTCTCTGTTAGAGAATAAATCATACCTGGCCTAGTACCTCCTAAGCTAGTATGCTCCTTAGCTTCTAGCTAGCTTAGCTTCTAAACTAGATAGTTTGGCTAAGCTAGATAGCTCCTAAACTAGTATGCTCCTAAGCTAGATAGTAGTATGGTATAGTGGATGGTGCAATCCAATCATCAAGGTTATAGTAAGCTTAAATTGTCCAGTTGGCTAGCTTCTGTATGTGCACAAGTATCTTGTATATGAAACCCAATTAAGATTCTTGGGACCTAACTACATATTCTATTAATTGTGCAAGTATTTAATATGCCTGCTGGGAAACGAAGAACAGAAATTGTGTGAGGGAGGTGATCAGCTGTTACCTACTTGAAGTCATTCTCTTTTCTAAAGTCAGTATTTTGCCGCAGCAGGGAACAAAATATTAGGAATGGCAACTTTTGTCAGTACTTATAGCGTGGTGGGGAATGTCCTCTTACCAAATGGAAGGTCCCAATCCTTCCTTTAGCTGTTTTCAGACACATTCCATCAGTCACAAATCTATTATCCGGTTCATCCCCTCTAGCTTGATATTTGTTACAGTCATAAAAGGTTGAAAATTTGTGAAAATCAGTGGCTTCATAAAGATGTGACTCATGGGGATGAGGCTTATTTACCACTTTGATTTTCACATGGTTGTAAACTAGATTTAGATGCAGTGGTACAGTCTCTGCTAATCTGATAGCTTCCAAATATGTTGACAAGAAGTGTCTCCAACCAGCA